GTGGATGTTACACCTCTAGACAGCCTAATAGCCAGGAAAGGAATGGAATGGAATAGCTGGAAGGGACCTTGGAGGTCCTCTAATCCAGCCCCCTGTTCAAGCAGGAGACCCCATCCATTTCAGACAAATAGTTGTCCAATCTCTTCTTAAAATCCTCCAGTGATGGAGCATCCACAAGTTCTGGTGGCAAGCTGTTCCACTGGTTAATTGTCCTCACCATTAGGAAGTTTTTACTTAATTCAAGGTTGCTTCTCTCCTTGATTAATTTCCATCCATTGTTCCTTGTGCTGCCTTCTGGTGCTTTGGAGAATAATTTGACCCCCTCTTCTTTGTGGCAGCCCCTCAAATACTGGAATGCCTCTATCATGTCACCCCTAATTCTTCTTCTTTTTTTTTTAGTCTAGCCAAGCCCAAATCCTGCAGCCGTTTTTCGTATGGTTTAGTCTCCAGGCCTTTGATATTTGCACACAGGATGTGTAATAATAATGTGTGGGAAACATAGCAGTGTGCTTACACTCATTAAAGTCATTCGCATAGAACTGTATCATTTATCTTTTATGGATTTAAATTTGCGCCATCAATTCTACAAACTTAAAACATCCCTGATCCTCATCTTTCTGCAGATTAGTAAAAACAGCCAGTTTTTGAATAGCCCGGGGATTAGAAAGAAACGCAAAACAAAATGTGGTTTAAATTCTCTGTATTATTATTATTATTATTATTATTGCAGCCTTTGTTATTTACACTATTCACTAATTTGGCAGCGAGGATCTCTTGACTTTTTTACACTCCCGAGACCAATTATGCTTTCAACCAGTTGAAAATACGAAGTGGCACTAACGAGTAGAAAAAGATTGTTAAGGATTGCACAAGAAAATTGGCAAGAGAACGAGAGTTAAGAAGCTACCTGACTCCGTTATCACCATGCAGACTGTGAGCAATTTGCACAGGGCTTGTTTTTAAAGTCCCATGAGGAAAACTGGAGGGTATTAGCTTCTCTTACTATACAGATCTGCATCTTCTGGGCTGGCCTGCCCATAGTCCATGAGGCTGGCATCTGCTTTATACTTGGGCGCCTTCAATACATCTGCCAAATATACACAAAGATGTTAGGATAGGTGTGTCTGGAATGAGAGAGGGGCCGCTAAGTTTATTTATTTATCTACAGGGGGGTCCTCCATTTACAACCATTTGAAGGTACAGTGGCACTGAATAAAGAGTCTTATGACTGGTCCTCACCTCTATGACCATCATACCATCTCCACAGTCTCTCAAAATGCAGGTGATTGGCAACCAAACCTGTGTTTACGATGGTTGCCGCATGCTGGGGTTTTTCATTACCATTTGTGACTTTCCCTGCTGGCTTCTCCCAAACAAAGCCAATGGGGGATGCCAAATTTGCTTAACAGTTCCATGATTCGCTTAAGAACGAAAGTAAGATTTGCTTAACGACCATGGCAAAAGAAGTCATAAAAATTGGGCACTGCTGACTTAATAACCCCCTTGCTTAGCAATGGGAATTCTGGTCGTAAGTCAAGCACAACCTTCCTTCCTTCCTCCCTCCCTCCTCCTTCCTTCCTTTCCTCCCTCCCTCCTTTCCTTCCTTTGCTTCCTCCCTTTCCTTCCTTCCTTTCCTCCCTTTCCTTCCTCCCTTTCTCCTTCCTTCCTTCCTTCCTTCCTTCCTTCCTTCCTTCCTTCCTTCCTTCCCTCCCTCCCTCCCTCCCTCCCTCCCTCCCTCCCACCTTCCTTTCCTTTCCTTTCCTTTCCTTTCCTTTCCTTTCCTTTCCTTTCCTTTCCTTTCCTTTCCTTCCTTGCTATCTTACCTTACCTCCTGTTTGGCATTTTGATTTGTACTGGTTGACAGGAATATAGCCTGCACTAACCAGCTGCCTTTGCAGGTGTTTAAACAACCTCCCCACCCAAAACCTGTATGAACAATCATCCAACTTGGGAACTGCAGATCCAGAGTTGGGAAGTCTGTGATGGCAATTGGAACATCTCACCTGTTCTGACATTTGGCGCCTTCATTTCACCCATCAAAGTCTCATAATCTTTGTGCACTTCTGACCTCTGGGTCGGTTCCTCTGATGTTTCCACTTTGTTCTCCGATTCTACAGGGGCCTCCTGAGTTTTTGGAAGGCTATGACTGACCCGTGAAGCTTCCTGTACTTGAAAAAGAGATGGTGTCAACTCATAAAACATTTTTTATGGCCATTTTATAGTTGCCAACAGAAAGGGAGGGGGGAAAGGGGTTTGAAAGAGCAGTGCGGTAGCTTGGAAATCGAAAGTGCATTCCATGCATAGTTTTTCAGAGATTGTAATTAGGCGACTGAAGTTTCTGCCGTGCAAATATCTAACTGGAGGACATGATTGATGACTCTTGGCTAGGGATGTGTCCCATTGGAGAATATGAATTATGATACACCCAGAGGGGTGGGGGGAAAACCAGGGTCAAGGATGACAGTGAATTGTGTGTGTCAGAGTCGGCTACACCCAGGTCGTGTCAACATGTTAACTCCCAATAAATCATGTTCTAGTTTTGGAAGTTTGGCTCGAGACTCATGATTTAACTGGGGGGTAACTGCTGGAATCCTGACAGATGGAATGATGGAATATTCAGAAAGATACATTGGGTGGGCAGTCTATTATAATTAAACAGTGTGACTTTCCAAAAAGGGACTGATTTTAATAAAAGTGTTGGCCAATAATAATAATAATTATTATTTATCTTTAGCACAGAATTCTTATTAGAAGTGATCAAATGCCAGCACGAGAAAGACCAGGCCTGGATTTTAATTTTTGTAATATGTATTTTATTAAAGATTTTTTCCCCTTAATATAAAATACAAATAGAGATAAGGACAATAGACTTGAACCAGATTTAAAAGCAGCTCCATATCTGGTCACTTGTGCTAAGAAAGAATTGATAGCCAGCTATGAAACAGACAAATTTTAAAAAAATCTTTACTGAGTCCCTAGTTTAATTCGAGGAGTTGAAGTCCACACATCTTAAAGTTGCCAAGGTTTAGGGTATAATTTATTGCTTATGAGGTTACCTAGTTGAGTAATGAAACATCTGTAAGCAAACCACCAAATTCACAAGTTTTGAAGAGTCCATGTATAGATAACTAACATTAAACACCACTGCAGGGCCTCTTTATAATGGGCAATGTAGAGATGCAGTTAATTTTACCATTTAATCCGATGCAAAATTTTGGTATTTTAAAATGTACCATCAAAAACTTTTTGCTATTTAAAATGCTTCTTGGAAAAGAACATACCTGAGTATCTTTTTCCTGGGCAACTTCTGCGGAAGGCTTTTTGGTCCAGAGGGATCCTACAGTTGTGTACATTATATGACTCGCAGCATAAACTTTGCTACCTGTAACCTGGTTTAATGTGAAATGTGTTATTCAACTGAGCAACAGACACAAGCTGGTGATTTCATTTCTTTTTAATGAATAGTATAATTCTGAGAGTGGAATAAAAACGTCCTAATTCTGAATGGCAGTCTATTTAAAATTTGGCCCCTGGAATTTAAAAATGTCAACCAGCAGCAACATTCTTAAACTGATACACACTGATACACACACACAAACCTTGTTTCCCCAAAAATAAGACCCTGTCTTATATATATCTTGGGTCACCAAAAAAGGCCCCAGGGTCTTATTTTCAGGGGACGTCGTCCATTAACTAACCTCACTTGCACACGTCACCCCCGGCCTCCTGTTCTCAGCTAGAGGCCTTCAGGAAAGCCTTACCAGCCTTGCCAGCTGTAGAAGAAATGGTGTCAGGGCATGTGAGGCCTGACTACAACTGTCCGAAGGTAAATAGTAGGGTAACTCCACCCTCCATCCCCACCCTAGCTTAATTTTTACCCGTGCACTCTGGAGTGGGTGGGGTCTTAATTAGGGCGTATTGGGGGGGGGATAGGGCTTATATTGGGCTCACATGTAAAAATCAAGGTAGGAATTACTTTCAGGGTAGGTCGTATTTTCAGGGAAACAGGTTATAAAAAACCCAAAATATGAACTTTAAAAGGAGCTTACCTTAGCAACGATCACCGACTGTGCTGGGTAGCAAAGAGATATACCTAGTGAGCCAAGGCACATGGGATAGGCGATTTTCTTGAATCGAGACCCTGCAAGAAACAAAAATCACAAGTGAGAATACGCAGAGCACCACTAATTGCCACGTGAAGTTTCAAGACCCGTGTCCTCCTAATTCACTTATGTCATTACATAATTGATCTGCTTTCCTAGAGAACTCTGAAGCATGTGCTGGCCAAGTTGCGTTGTGGCCTGTCGGCTGCCAGCAGAGCTAGCGGCGGAGTCTGATGAGGAGGAGGTTGAGGGAAGGGCCTGGGCCAGCTTCGGAGCCCTCGGAAGGCTCTGATAAGGAAACAGCATTGGAGACAGAGCTGGTGCCTTCTGTCCTCCCCCAGGTGGAGAGGCAGCTGTCTTCGGGGCCTGAGCTCAGTGAGGGGGAAAAACAAATGGGACCCATCCCATATGCCTAGATGTGTAGAGAGAGGAGAGGAGAGCAAAGGAAAGCAATCAGCCGGCTCTCAGGGAAAAGAAGACGTTGATGCTAACCAGCCCTCCCTGGCTGGGAAATAAATAGGAGGGGTTTGGGAGGGATCAGATGTCACAGACAACAGTTTGTTTCTAGTACATAGCAAGCAATTTGGATTCCTTGGATTAACCCAGGTTTGTTGGGACTAATTACGTTTGATGTTTTGTTTATCCATGTGAATAAAAGACTGTTCCTGCCCTGTTATAAAAAGAGGTTGTTTCACTTGAGAGTAAATGGCTTATCATTACTTGTGAAGGCTGGCTCAAAATAAGTTGTCTAGGTTTGCACAGGCTCAGTCACCAAGAACTAACCAAGTCAACACATACTTGAGAATTAATTGAGCATATTCAGTTCATTCACTATTCAGTAAACGTGCCGTGCTTAGGATACGGAAGTGAAATGTTATTTTTGAAGCATGAGGTTGCACCTATAACATTTCCTGGCAACTCTTTAAAGCAGCTGCATCTTTTCCTTTTGCCCACAGCTGCAGCTTCAAAAGCTGCAGGTGAAAAGATTAATTTACCCTGGAGTGGGATATCCCCACAGCACGGTCAAAAAAGCTAAGACGGAGCCATGATACATGGAGTGTGATCCAAGTTCTGCCTGTTTTTTATGTCCGTCACAAAAAGGGCAGAGCTACCATCACACTTCCACAGTTGCCATCTTGACTATTGTTAGCCACACCCTTGCAGATACTGGCTGTAGATTAAGAATAAATTGAATAGAGCAACAGAGATCATGTTAACAAGTACAGTTTTTCTTATCATCTGGAGTAGTTTCCTTCCCCATAATTGTAGTATTGTAACAATAAGTATTATCTTACCTTTCCTGGCCAGGACTATTCCAGTCAGTCCTGAAACTGTGATCACACCAACTTTGGGGAGAAATTCTGGGGGAGGATTCTTCAGGTAAAAATACACATCTTCAAGATAAGCAAAACAATCAAGGTTATTTCTTGCTGGATTAGCACAACTTCTCTTTATCTCACTGGTTATTTTCAGAAGTTGTGGTCATATGTGTTGTGGCCCGCCGGCGGCCAGCAAAGCTGGCAGCAGATTCGGACAGGAGGTTGGGGAGGAACATGGGCCAGTCCTGGAGTCTGGGGAAGGCTCTCATGAGGGCTCTGCGTCGGAGGCAGAGAGGGGGCCAGGGCCGTCCGACAGTTATCAGCTGCCTTTGAAGTCAGACATCGAGGCAGAAGAACAGCTGGAGCCTGTTCGCAGTGTGCGCATGCACAGAGTTGCCAGGAGAAGGGAACAGCTAAGGTACAAGGGTCGACTTGGGAGTAAAGCCACAGGTGGACGGTGAATGGCCCCACCGCTTGAGTATAAAAGAGGAGCGAAAGGGGAGTGGGGCTTTGCAGATGACAATTAGTTCATTTGAGTGAAGATCTGTTCCTGCATTCTTGCCAAGTATTGTCTGCTACAGTGTGGCATCTGAAAGATATCGGCCTGGCAACTCTCCAAGCCTGATAAAGGTCTGTAATAGTGAAATCTCTTGAAAGACTGGTGGCCGGGACTTTGCTGGAAAGGAATTCACTGTAAACTAAATAAAAGGGGTTTATTGGGACAAGGAGTTGGCTTCATGCTGTTGGGAATGGCCTTGGGAGACCGAAGGAAAACTACAGACTACATAATGGTCAGATATCAGGTAGCTGAGCCCACAAAAGGAATATGGGCAAGGCAAGCAGCTCAGATAGGACCCTCCTTATTTCCTCTGGAGACGGCTGGAGAATTGTACTTTTAGGCTTGCAAGAGTCCGTCAACGAATCCTTACAATAAAGTTAAAGCTAGCACAGGTAATCCTTCATTTGGTGACTGTTCGAAGTCACGACGGCACTGAAAAAAGTGACTTATGACCGTTTTTCACACAACCGTTGCAGCATCCCCATGATCAAAGCTGGGGCACTTGGCAACTGGCCCATATTTATGATATCATAGTTGCAGTAATCATTTTTTTTGCAACTTTCTGACCAGCAAACTCAAGGAGGAAATCTGATTCACTGATCAACCGTGTTACCAACTTAACAAACTGCAGTGATTCACTTAACAATGGTGGCAAGAACGATTGTAAATTTGGGGGCAAACTCAGTTAAACAAATGTCTCGTTTAGCAACAGAAATCTGGGGCTCAACCGTGGTCGTAAGACGCGGACCACCTATACTTTTGCCTCTGCCTCCTGTCTGGACTACCTTGCAAGACTGACAGAAGTACACCAAAACACAAGGAAAGTGCAAAGTGCTCTATTGACACACCCACCTTTTCCAAACTGTAAGGAAGTCGTGACTCCATTTTTGATGAAGAGGTAACCATCCTGTAGAAACAAACAAAAATCATTTAAAAAAAAATCCCACTGGCAGATATGAAGGCAGCTTCATAAAAGGAGAGATGGCTGGAAAAAAAATACTCTTCGTTTTTATGTAGTATGTAAATCCATCCCAGGATATGTGATTTTGCAATTAGAAAGTGATACATACATGACAAAGTGATGAGAAATTGCCTTCACTAAGGCTAACCTTTTGTACTTGTGGGTATGATGCAAGTGGCAGCTTTTGTGGGACGACACTGACAGGCACCAACACAAATCATTACTCCCACTTGTCGTCCCCCAGGTATTCGTGGACAGAATGGGGTAAATAATGTCACTTAATGCAAATAATGTGTTGAGATTACAATTCTCTGAATTTCTAGCTTACAAAGTCAAAAAGATTTAAGAAATCA